AAGCTCGAGTGCATGGCGCAATCTAAAGTAGGGCTTTCCAAAAGCTCAAAAGCAGAACTCGACAAGCTGAGTTCAATGCTTTTTTCAGATTTTGAAAATCTCAATTTTTGGGGCGAGTACCGTAGTTTTCCACATGGTTAGACTCGCCACAGAGAGACGAGTCCAATGGTGTAGAGCACCAATCATTTTGACCCGCTTTGGGGGGAGTTATGAAGGGGCGACGCTTTGCGACGCTGCAAATCCGTCGCTCAGCGGAGAAATTTCAAAAGTTAGTGGCGGTATTGTAGGTGGTTCAGATCTGCTCAAGTGTTCCTTTTTTGCATTTGTGACTGATCAGTTGTCAGTAGCGTGCCATGTTCCTGTTTCTATTCTCAACCCTGGTTTGTTTTAATGCGTGAGGATCCTTCACAATGAGACTTTTCGCAACTTAGAGGTGGTTTGACCACGCCAGTGTCCACTCCGCGCACTCCCAAGCAATTTTCGTTATGAAATGTGTTATTCTGTTCTCTGCACCAAGAGATTCAAAATACTCTTGTGCTCAATTCATAGACAAATACGAGATTTTAACCCCCAGCCCAGCCCACTATCCCCAAGAAGACCTTCCGTAGACGTCGGTACGTCAGTATTGAAATGATGCGTATTCTGAATCTGGCCAGCAAACTGCATGCTGATGAGCCAGAGACGTTTGGCCATAAGCTTATTCGTTAATTCCCAGAAGGTGAAGAAGAGAATAAACAGGTTTTCACGACCGTATCGACCTCAAGAGATATTCCAGGCAAAAACAATGTGTGAGAAGAAAGAGCATCCTTGCGCTGTAGAACCCTGCAAAAGCTTAATGGCTCATTTCGACGAGTTGAAGGTAGGCTTTTCACGCGAGAATATCGCCATATTTATAGACCTCCGCAATACTAAGTACTTCCCATCTCTGGGGACCTAAAAAAGGATGGAGACAGTGAAAGTGGTAAATGGAAGCTTATTTATGACGTGAAAATTCCATTCAGAGCGACCCGCCGTTCTATGTACTGACACTCAATTTTTTTTGCCGCATTGGATTTTAGGATGCGAAGGTGGTGCAGTGAAGCTGAAGATCGTCGTGGCGCAGTAGTTCATCGCGCCATCAGCGATCCATTTTCGTGACGTATAAACTCCTGCGCCAACTGAACCATTTTGCTTGCCCAATCATGGGGATTTAACGAATATGGAAATAGATAGGTTCTGTTCGTTTCGAAAGCACTGGGTTCGGCCGGGCGATGTCCCCCGTCACTCGCACTCTCCCGCAATTTACTTCGAGCTAAAAAATATCCGAACGTCGCTCGAATACACTGCAAGGTGCTATCTCAACAGCTTGTCTTATCGAAAGGTAAACCGTATAAATGCATCGGCAGCGGTTGTTGTGCAGTGTATTGCACTAGAGATTTCATTCAGGACGTACAGGGTGTTCCGTAAATACTGCAACGCGTTTTTTGCCGTGTTTTCTCTCTAGAAGTCGACGTAGGTTCAATCGGTTATAGGAGTATTTGCTCAAACACTTACATGCTAACTACAGACATGCATCATGGACATGCTCTCTGTCGCCTTACGACTCTGGGACGGCTGAAGTTGCATGTGCTGCTGCCCGCACGGTCTCATGAAATATACATTTTCGAACCTCCAAAGAGGGCGCATCCGTCTCTTCGCAAGAGTGCAGTTTTTAGTATAGGTTCTCTCCACTAATATACCCCAATAGGAGTCGCTAGCATATCTGATCAAGGGACTGACGAGCTCTTAGTTTGAGGGTGCGAACTTGAGAAGAATGGGGCAACAGCGGTTCAGAACAGTTTTTGTCCTTAGTGCAGAAACGCTGCCTTGTCGAGAGAATCCACCATTCCTCAGTAGACTGGCAAGTGACTTTAGTAACAGATGCAAATTTGTTCCAGAGCAGCTATCTGTTACTAAGTCTTACCTCTCTAGATGTCGTACTCGTGTCCTATTTGTCTTTTATGACAGACAACGGTGAATGGCAACCGTGTATCGAGACCACTGTCCAGACTTGGTTGCTGCTTGGAGAGTCTACAGAAGCTCAAGTGAATGGCCCTCGGGTAATCGTCTGCTGGTCTTTTCAGGAAAGCTTCACACTTGCTTTTCTGCTAAGCTTCTGCGCTTTAGTGACGATATTTCCTAAGCATTTTCCAGGGGTGCATGTGTAGTTTTTATGGACAACTTTCCACACGGTCAGGCTAAAAACTCTCATGACTCTCAAGCCATCTTTCACTTGCTCCTAGAGGATTGTGGTCGACTCGTTTTTTCACTGTTTTCCTAGAATCTGGAGAAGCTGAAGTTAGGGGACGGAGCAGCAAGCACGACCATTCACTGCTGTCCTCTTCTATGCAATGCAGATTGTGACGATGCAAGTTCAAAGACGAGAAATGTTTGTGTGAGAATGTACTGCCTCGCTTAGTGAGAGAATAGCAATTGGGTTCGTACACACCATGAGTTGAAAAGCTAAAGAGGTGCCGTCAAATTTGATAAACTTATTCAGAGCAATATGAAGAAGCACACTTATATGTCAATCGACAAAAAAAACAGTAATCGCAGTCAAAAACGACGGGCGAAATTTGTTGCAATAATTAATGGAACACCCTGTACTTTTTCGGAATTGAAATTATTAGTGTGTTTTCAGACCATGGAACCCAAGGAGGCGTGCAAGCTGATCGGCGAATGCTAGATTCATTGAAGTGTGACTGCCTCGACTGTTCATTTAATTTTGTAGGCTAGTCACGAATAAAGTTTTTTGGAGTCGACGTTGACATCATATCCACAATCATTTCACACTTGAGCACTAACGTTAAGCATTATCATTCTGATAAATAATATACTTACTTTGATACTTTGATAGTCCTTCTGCGATGTTCTCAGCGGGGACCACAGCTCTTCCATGCTTCCCGGTTTCTGGCGACTTGCATCCAGTGTAGACCACGTTGTCTGAAATACTTTGAAAACGAGTCGGCCCACCGGGTTTGCCGTCGTCCTAGCGGTCTTGAATTGTTTCTTGGGAGCCATTCTGTTACTCGGAGGCTATATCTGTCATCGTCTTGGCGAAATAAATGACCAGCCCAACGATGTTTCGATTGTGCCATTTGTTTTAGTTTAGGGTCTTTCATTTAGTCTGCTGCTTCTGCAATGAATCAAAGTCAATTCTGCCCATGCAGTACGTCTCCTCTGGTTTATTTTTGGAGCAATATTGTTCGTCATGTTCAGCTCTCTTCCCAGGTACACGTAGGAGTTTACTCTCTCTAGAGCTTTTCCCGCTAGTTTTATTGTACCTGTATCACACCACTGGTTCACCATTTGCGTTTTCGACATGCTCATTTCCAAGCCGATCTTCAAGCCTTCCACATTGAGTTCGTTGACCATTTCCTTCCATTTCGATTGTGTTGTGAGATATCAATACGGTATCACCCACGAGGCGGTGGGTATTCATACTCTTATTGATGTATCCTTTGTCTTCCCAATTAAGGTTTGACATCGGATTCTGTAATGCAGCCGTGAATATCTTTAGTGATACTTATCTTCTCGCTGTACTCCTTCCTAAATAGGGATTTTTATCTTCCGCTCAAACAACTGAATAGTTTCGAAAGCATTGTTCGAGCAGTTGGGCAGGAGGAGCTCCGGCTTGAATGAGGGCATTTGGAACAGCGTTGACCTTAACAGAATCGAATGCCTTTTTATAGTCAGCGAAGACAAGGTTATATCCATTGCTTCTCCCAATAGACCGCGTGTACGTTATCCATGCATGAAAACTGTCTGCTTTAGTGGCTGGTATTCGTCCAAAATGCGTTCCATGTGGTTGAGCAGCATTTTCGTGAATATACCACCGAAGGAAAGCTGATGGGTCTGTAGCTGGCGATATCTTCTCACTGGCCTTTCCTAAACAGTAGAACAGTTCTCGATCCTTTCTCCGTTCCGAAATCTTTCGAGAACAGTGAAAAGGATCGAGAACTTATATTACTTATTAGCCCGAGGGTAGTGGCTGAGGGGCCAACGAGGAGAGCATAGGGAGCTGTATTTCCAGCACGCAGCAAATCCGCAGAGATGTTATCAGGCCCTGGGGCAGTTCCTTTTCTCATGCTTCGTATCGCGTTCGCAATTTCTGACTCCAGAATAATAGGAGGGTCTTCAGCAGGCGGTATCAGCTTCGCAGGACACTTGGGTTTGAACGAAAGAGGGCCGCATAGAAATTGTTAACAATATTCTCCATGCCTATTCTTGATGGGCGGAAGTGGTGTAGTGACAAGTGGCGCGCTTACCACGCGAGCGGTCCGGGGATCAAATCCTGGGTCGTGAGTCGCCCGGGCCAACCAAGCCTTCCATCCCTCCGGGGTCGGTTAATTGGTACCAGACTTGTCTGGGAGGATAAAAACACTGACTTGAACGGCTGGCCCCCGCAAGTCATTGTATAGGCCACATCGCATTCAAACGCCACTACGAAATGTACAAATGGAAGTAGAATGCGTGCCGCATCCCAAAAATCCTGATCAACGGCAAATGCTTCATCCTTTTTTCGCCCCCTGCAACCCGGTGGATGATCCGTGTACGCTTTTCAAGGGGTCTGTGTTATGAAGAGACATTACGTAGATGCCTTGAGGGAGCGTGATGGCAGTGACGTTCTTCAGCGCTTCATAGTGGCTAAGAACGTATCATCTTCATGTGCTTATTGTTGTCCATTCCTTCAATCCTGCTTGAAGTTTCCTCGGAATATGAAACCAGCATGTCTTCCACTGATGATTGAGTCTTTTAGTATTATCATCAGCAGTAGGTCCATTGCTGAGTTGTGTTTAATACTGCACAAAACACAATAAACATTCATATTTATTTATTAAAGTTTATTAAATTATATATAAACAATTATACATGCAAATATACAGAATTGCGGTATCGGTGAGATCGTAATGTACATGTGTTTTGCGATAAACACTAGTAAACAACTCGACAGTACCGACAACACAATAATTAGCCCCTATTTACTGCTGATCGACAGCCTTTTGGATTGGGATAGTTCTGGCGGTGACGGCTGGTTTCGGCTTGGGCACCTCGATGGCCAGCTGACCGTTCTCAGATAGGGTGGATCGGATCTGCTCGACGTCAACATCTTCTGGAAGAGTCCATCGACGAAGGAATGACCTGCAAAAGAGGGAATTCAGCGATTTCATGGAGACAGGGCGAACCACTGGATTTCGAAACTGTAGACTTACCTGCTGGTGTAATTTGAACCTTCAGTGATTTCTTGCTTGCCTTCAATCGTTAGAGTTCGGCCATCGATGTTCACCTTCAGTTCATCTGGCTTGAATTTCGACACATCCAGTGAAATCGCCAGCTTTGACCCGTCATCGGTAACCTAAATCGGGTGATTCACTTGCACTGTAGGTACAGAGCACAAACCGGAAGGCTATCAAACCTTTTGACATACCTTTCCTAAAGATCCTGCAAGAGCTTTCC